CGCCGAGAGAACCGAGCCCGCTCGCCCCGGGAGCTCCGAGTGTTGCGGGAAACAAGGGGTTCGGTTGTGTTAAAGGTGCTTTACGTGTCCGTCGTGCTGATGTTTGAGTCTCCAGAGCAGGAGTCCTTGTCCTGTCACTGGGCACCACCAAGAAGAGATGTTCAAGTCCCTTCATCATCCTCGTTGGACGGAGAGCTACGAGGATGATGAAGAGGTCCCAATCTCGCAAAAACATCGCAAACAACTGTCGGTGTTTGGGTTTTGTTTCCTTTGCCACTGCTTGTCCAGCAGCAGTAGTTCCTTCTCCTGGATTTCAAGCTCTTCATTTCACTCGATGTCTCTGTAATTCGTAGGTTGAAAGGGACAGTGAAAATCATTCCTCCCTCACCTTCCCTGGTGCCGTTTATGGGCTGCAATATCTGCTCGCCGTCACCTCCAGCCCGGGCTGAACTGCTGTTTCTTGTGTTTTGTACTTTCCATAATCTTCCTTGTCTTCTCTGAGCCTTTGCCAGTGCTTCTCTTTTCCTTCTGAGAAGCGGGACACACACACACAAACCCTGTGTTTAGTGTTGAAGGTGCTCCTGCCCCGCTGCGCAGCGACGTGAGGCATCCCACCAGCACTCGGGACTTGGGTGGTGGGTGGAGGGGAAATTTCACCGCAGATCTGGTATTAAGGTCTCACTTGTACCAACTTTTTGCCCAGCCTGATGCTCCCTTTTAAGTAAAAGAAGCTGGAAATTGCGGTATTGAAGAGTTATTTGATTCTAGGGCTGTTAACTGACTTCTGTTAATTCCCTCTGTCTTTTGATAGGCAAGTCCATGAGGTCCAGTCTTACATGGGGCGCCTGGAGACTTCAGACAAAGAGTCAGTACACTGTAAGTAATTAATGAGTGGGAAAAGTCCCTCTCCAGTACCGATTTGATTTAGCTCCCATCCTTAGCCTTGTATTTGCAGCCGTTACCGGGACAAATTTGGCTCTTTGGTCACTGTGATCAGCTGAGGGGACACATCACCAGTCTAGAAGGCATTCAGATTATTTTGCTGTTTGGCTTTAGTGAAGAGATGTTTTGTATGAAGGGCAGGGGGCAAAAGACAGAACGAGAATTTGATTCACACCTTCTCCTTCTTTTAATTCTTTATTTGACAAGTGGCCCTTGCTGGGGGTGCTTTTGGTTTGGGAATGCCAGATGTTTTTTGGTGATTTTAGAAGTCGTTGTCAGGGGACCCTCTGGAGGCCTTTGCCACAAACAGGCTGAACCCCCCCACTGGTGTGTTTGCAGAGGGTACGATGAACACGTTGATGTGGACAGAACGGAAAATACAGAACATCTGATTTCTTAGCAGCTCAGAGAGCTGAGAAATGTAATTGTGCCTGTCCTGTTATTCCTTAAGCATCCACTAACGGGCAGCCTTCCCCAAAAGATGCTTCTTCCACATGGTGGGGAAGATGTTGTGCAGGAATCGAAGCAAATCCTGCTCCCGTCAGTCGGAACCATCTGCTTATGAGAAATACGTAGAACAACCAGATCTGAAATTGCTTCGGTGAATTTGGACTATAACCCTGTGCTGATAAAACAACCGTAATAAACTGCTGGGGCTGTGTCGTGGCAGGACTTTTTACCCCAGTGGTGAAGGAATTCTGGACCCGCGTTTGAAGCCTTAATTTCCTGTATGAGTAGCCACTGACAGGCCTCGTCAGGAACTTCTGAAGTGGGAGGACACCTCATCCGCTGGACATGTGTATGTGCGTGTCAGCCGTTACCCTGAGTGTCCCTGTGAAGGCTGACGTCACTGTGGAAAGAGCTGTGATAGCTTCCCTGTCGAAAAATAACTTCTGCACCAATTCTGGTTTTTGTGGTGGTTGTACTGTGCAGTACAGTGCCACACTGCCTGGCCCCCAGTCGTGTCGGATGTGATTTTGGAAACTCTTGAAGCGAGATTTTCCATCTTGCCTCTGCTGTTTGAGACCACTTCAAGAGATAGGGTTATGTACTATCTCACATTGTCAGTAAATGAACATACTGTTTCTATATAAAAAGACAGATACGTGCTCTAGATATTAGTCTGTGTTTCAGGATTTATGGGAAGAAGTAGTGTCTTTTGACTGAAGAGCAGAAATAGGAGCCAGAAAATCAAATGTTCTCCTGCAGCTTTTCTTTTCCAACTTGGGGCAACTAATCCCTTCGTGCTCAGAAAAGCGTAGGATGACCGGGAGATAGTGATACCCTTGCTGGGAGTAGCAGAAGCGGATGCAATCGTCTGTCTGCTCTCCTGGTTGCTCTTCTGTTGAGCTGAGCTGTCCTAAATGACGAGTGAAGAGATGAACTGGGACAATTTGGTTGTGTCTCTCTGCACGTGAGTCAGTTGCTGTTTAATCACGTGAGATCAAAGGACAGGTGTCGTATGTGCTGTTTGCTTTTGCGGGTTCTGAACACGATTTTCTGTGAAGTCATTAGAATCATTAGAATAGAATCATAGAGCAGTTTTGGCTGGAAGAGACCTTCAAGATCATTGACTCCAACCTTTTCTTAGCACTATCAACACCACTAACCCTTCAACACAGCATCCACCTTTCTCTTAAACACCTCCAGGGATGGCGGCTCAACCCCTTCCTGGGCAGGTTGTAAATACAGACAGTCCTGTGGAGTAGGTAGAGGTTTGTCAACAACGCTTCTCCGTACGGCTCTTCAGCCAAAATACAAAGTGAGAGCAAATCGTGCCTGTAGGATTCGGTGGTTGCTTACACCGGGGCTGACCGTGGCAGCCGGGAGCTCAGCACCGTCCTCGTGGCTGCACGGACGTGACGGCGCCTCGGTCCCTTAAAGATGAGTCTGTGGCGGTGCTCTGCAGGGTGTGCGCCTTCAGCCCTGCGGCTGGCCTGCCTCCAACACGAGCGTGTCGGGTGATGGATAGTGCTCCTGGGTTTCACCCTTCTGTGCAGTTCTCTTCAGTTGTGAAACGTCGGGTTGTGACACGTTAGAAAACGTGGCTGTCAGGTGAGGGAGGGGGTGGTAGCTGAAAGCACGTTGCTCTTCCTCCCTCGTTGTAGCAGTTCCCCACCTCGTTAAAGTACAACCAGGGCAGTTGGCGTTATGGGCTGTTACCCCTCGGCTCTTGCTACGCAGGTTATCAGCAGCAATCACAACACAGGTGATGATTTCGAGGCCTCGTTTTCCCACTTACAAGGGCTTTGGCCGTGTCTTTCTGAGCTGTTTGCCCAGTCTGCCAGTTCCTGTCCACCCTGAGTCGTTTCCCGTACTCTTCTCTGAAGTCACTCTGCCGCTGCGGGTGATGAATTAACTCCGTATCAGCAGCCCGCAGAGATTTCACTTGCTGCTGTTGTGAGAATCATGTTGGCTGTTTGCTTGTGTGAGCAAATCCTGCTGAGGGAATGGAAGGAGCTGCCAGGGGAACGCTGGAGCTTTAAATCCTAATACATGGAGCTGGCAGGGAAGGAGGCTCAGGCTTCTTGAAAGAGCAGGGGCTGTTCTGGCTTCCGAGGAGGAGGAGTGAAAAGCAAGAGTCTCCGGTTATTGACTTAAAGAGGTTGCTTTGGATGATACAGATAGTTTTCAGTTATCTGATTGGATTTTATCTGTCGGGTTTTAAATACTAGTTGGAATGCTCTTGAGCTTTTACCTTACTTGGGTTGCAATTCCTTGACTGAAATCAGATCTCGTTTGTGTTTCCTTGCAGTAGTTGAAAATGAGATTCAGGCAAGAATCGACAATATATTCAGCAACTTGGAACGTCTGGAGATCCTGTCCAGCAAAGAACCGCCCAACAAGCGCCAGAATGCTAAACTGTAAGTTCACCTCTTTGCTCTGGTGTTGCAGTGATTATTTTCTTCAAATTTATCGAAGCTTCTTGGCTTTTGATTTCAGCGAAACCTTTATACTTTGTGTAATTTATCTCGGTGCTCTGGAGTAGCAAATTTGAGGCGCAGAGGCACAATCACTTTCCTGCATTTAACCACAGGCTGGCGGGGATGGAGCTGGGTTCGTGGCTCTGTTCTGAGACGAGCAGAATGTGGCTTAAAAAAAATTCTGCTCTATATGGCTCTTGCCTTTAATGGCATTAGTGGAGGTAAGGAGTGAAATTATTTCAGTTGGTGTGACTTTCCCTGGACTGTTTCCTGTCTCTTCATGACTAAAATAAGGAGGTTTTTAAAGTTAACACTGGTTTGAGGGGAATGTTGCACCAGAGACCTCGAGAATTCTGCTTTATTCTGTGACTCTGCTATTAACATGTAGTCCCCAAATGCCATTGCAGATATTGGGGGTAGATTTCCCGTCACCTGTATTAGAGAGGTCACTGAGGCTTTCTTTCTAGTCATCAAACGTTTAATCAGAGGCAATATTGTTCTGGATATTATTTGTTTTTAGCTTAACAGAGACGTCTCCTGTATTGCCTGCTGACTTTTAAACTCTTTTAATAAAAACTCGAGAACATGCTGTTAATTAAAAGATGAAGCTTTCGAGCTTCGTTATGTGCATGAGGCTCCTAAAATAGAAACTGTTCAAATCTTTCCAAGCTGGTGTTAAATGAGGAATATAGAACCCATCGTTATTACTGTTATTCATCGCTGTTAATTTATAATGCTCCATCGTTGATATAAAATAACCAAACGCCAGGAGAGAACGGTGTGTTTAATCCCCGGGAGTGACTCTTCCTGTTGTCGATCCTTTCCAGCCGAGTTGACCAGCTCAAGTACGACGCTCAGCACCTGCAGACCGCGCTGCGCAACTTCCAGCACCGCCGTTACGTCCGGGAGCAGCAGGAGCGACAGCGGGAGGAGCTGCTGGCGCGCACGTTCACTGCTAACGTAAATATTCTTTATTTTAGATTTCGGTGTTCTAGAAGCCGTGGTCTTTTCAGGCGAGCTGTGGGCGTGACTCTTTTAGCTCCCGTGAGGCGTAAACAGAATAAAAGTAGAAAAGACTAACGGTACCTGTCGAAAAACTACAACTCTCTCGTGAGGAAAAGCTGGGATTTTAAGAGGCCGTAGTAAAAGACTCCAGCAACTGCTGCTCCTGTTTTACCCGGTGCAGTTCTGCCCAACTTTATGTAGTAGTTTCAAAAGGGTGAAGGAGGTGGGTACCGAAAAATACGTTTTTGCTTGGATTTTGGGTCATGTGCCTTTGTCAGATGCGGAGATTTGCAAACTGTCTGGTTTTATACGCCCCGCTGCCAGGAGATGTCAGCAAGCTTTCGTCTGGCCCAAGAGGAGTCAGGCAGCTGGGAAGAGCCCCCTTGCTTTTCAGCTATAAATGGCTCAAAAAAGGTTGGAAGAACAGGGATGTTTTCCCGACGCTTCTTGTTCATTCTTAGTTCCACTGGGAGGCCCTCCAGTGCAAATTCCGAGGGGAGTTTTGCTCTGAATAATGTAGATTTGCTTTCAGATTTCACTCAAAAGCTGCTTTATTTTTTCAATTTGTTTGTTTGTTTGGGGTTTTTCTGTTCATTTGTTTGCTTGTTTTAATTTTTTTTTTTGGTTAAAGACATACAACCTGACATCATTATCCGTGTGCTCATTGTTTGGGCAAGGAAGAGCAAATATGAGTTGTCCTATTTTTGTTTTGAAATCTGGGAAGTTCGATGCATTTCTCGAAGCCTGACATAAAGCTGACATCTAGCATTTTGTCAGCTATTTTGAAATTAAAAGCAAGACTTGGAAAACAACACCGAGATTTGAAACCTGCTTTATTTTCAAACCATTGAGGTGTTCTTCTGAGAACATGGGGAAGTTTTCTTGGAGGAAAACATGCCCAGAAATAAAACACTTACGTCAGCAGAATAGTTTTGAAGAGCAAATCTTGCAGATGCAAAATAAACGGTAAATATTTTTTTTTTCTCCTGTTGAAAAGTGCCTCAAGGTGGAAAAAAAAAAAGCAAAATTATTTTGTTATTCTTTTAATCCTTTACAGAAGTATGAATCTTGAAGTAGAATGAGCCTTTAATAGGAAAACGGTGATTTATTTGTTAGTTTTTGGCCTCTCCCCTTTGGGTAGAAGTTTACACAGTTTCTGTTTGTAGAAGTTTACATGGTTTCTGTTTAGGTACTGCCCTATTCCATTAAATAAAAGTGTCAGCTGAGCACGCAAGCACCCTGAATAAATCGCAGTAACGTAACTTTTGAAAGTGTTCTGAGTGGGAACATAAATACGGTCTGTAAAGCCTTCCCTCTCACCCTCCTGGAGAAAACCACGAGCAGTGAGTGAAAGCTCTGATGCCATCCTGGGTCAAAAACCTGCTCCTGGGATTTTTCCTGCTGCCTTAAACAAACCCCGCACGGGAAATGGGTTCCCTGCTGGCCTGAAGTTTAGTAAAACGAGTGATGGCAGCTGTGTGGGTGCAAGTCACAGAGTGTTGGGGGTGAGAAGGGACCTCCAGAGCAGGGTCACCCAGGGCAGCCCCACAGGAACGCGTCCAGGCGGGTTGGAAAGTCTCCGGAGCAGGAGACTCCGCACCCTTTCTGGTTCAAGTCCCTTCACCATCCTCGTAGCTCTCCATTGGACTCACAGAGTCCAATGGAGAGCTACGAGGAATAGGTCCCAAGGAGACCCAGCCTATGGGTGTTGAGTGAGTAAGACTTTCAGAGAACTAAGCTCGTGTCTGTCTGCCCTCGCTATCGAGAATTTGCACCGTGTAAATTTTTAGGATGTCACCTCCCAGCCACTGTATTTTGCCGCCTTATGTCACTCGGACACGGGATATTAAATCTTTCAAAAGTCTTTCACTTGCAATGATCAAATGCCTCCTTGTTAAACACCGTCTGTTATTTTTTCGTTCTCTCTTGTCCTGCCTTTCCCTCCAAATATCACAACCTGATATTATAA